TAACAAATCAGTCCAGATTATATGAGGGAGGGAGAAATGAAAAGGGAAGGGAAAATGGTGAGAAATGAAAGGTAAGCAAGAAGAAAAAGGGGATGAAGTATTTCTATTCTAATAAAATCCTCGGGGGGGGGGGGGTAACATTATATAAATGTACTAAGTACATACTTTTCCCACTTGAATTACATATGAAGACATGTAGCAGACTTCACTATCTCCGAACACATTGTCAGAATAAACCTTGAACAAATTGCCAGACCCTGACGATGGAACTTCCTCTTCCCCTAAGACTTGCTGAATGAAATCCCCCACACTCCATGTTCAAACTCCAGCCCCTTCCCCTCACCACCTTTGCCTAACTCAGTCACCCATTATCACCTGCAACCTGAAAGCATCTTGGTAGCCCTTGGTAGGCAGGGTAGGGAAGTTTCAAAAGATAAAATGTCGTTGTCTGGATAAAAATTTCCAGGAGGTAGACTGTATGTAGCCCCCTAATGCTGCCCTTAACTTCCCATTCCCAACCCCCTATATAAACTCCAAGTACTCCCTTCACTCTGCAGAACACGCCCCTGCACACACATCCAGGTGTGTCCTTCCCTGCTTGAAACAGTCCTTTTTGCTGAGGTCAGACTGGTCTCTTTCTGCCTTCTGTTTCTTTAAGCTGCCCCAGAAGTCTAATATACATTATCTATGATTTTTTTGTTTTTAACAGAAGCATAAATATCTGAAATAGGCATTCTAAAAAAAAAATCACCAAAGAAAAGTAAATGAGATAGAATAGAAACTGCTCCCTAGTTGAAATAAAAAGACTTATGGAAGAACAAATGTAGCATATATATATATTAGCATGAGCCCTGGTACATGAGGTATATGTTAGATATTACTCTCTTTTTAAACCACTACTTGCTGCAGTATCAACTCCAGATCTGGTAAATTCAAATTTGACTCTCCCAAATATTATCTTAAGCAAATGTGATGTGAATGAGATTCAACTGTTGTTTCTTTTTTGATAATTTTTTAAAATTTAAATTTGAAACAAGCTTGTTTTACATGTCAATCCCAGTTCTCACACCCTCCGTCCTCCCGTCTCCCCACCTAATACCCATCCCACCCCCTTTCTGCTCCCCAGGGAGGGGGAGTCTTCAAAGTCTGTCATATCATTTGGAGCAGGGCCTAGGCCCTCCCGCATGTGTCTAGGCTGACCCTCTATATGGAATGGGCTCCCAAAGTCCATTCGTATACTAGGGACAAATACTGATCCACTACCAGAGGCCCCATAGACTGCACAGTCCTCCTAACTGACACCCACGTTCGGGGGTCTGGGTCAGTCCTATGTTGGTTTCTCAGCTATCTGGGGTTCATGAGCTCCCCCTTCAACTGTTGTTTCTTTTATCGCTTTGAGACCAAGTCTCACCATGTTGCCCTGGCTGGTCTGGAACTCACAATCTTCCCACATTAGTTTCCCAGTAGAAGGATTACATGTGTGTACTGATACTGGCTACTTCCTTTATCTCTGAAATAGAGATGAAAGAGACCTTCTTAACAGGATTATTATAATAGTGTTTGCTAAAGCACCTAGACTACAGGGTTCAACAGGCATGGGAATGAGATGGCAATGACATTAAAAAAAAAAAAGGAAAGAAAGAAAGAAAAGGTAGCATCTTTTTTATTACATCTAAAAAACAGTAACTACAAGAAGCAGCACCTAGCTTTAAAGTGAACATAATGTATAAGACAACATTTCTCAAAGTGACTTCTACTGGCTTCTGGCACAGCTCTGTAAGTACTGGTGAGTGCAGGAATAAAATTCACTGATTAAATATTCTAAGTGTAGGAATATGCATCTGCCATCACTCATCACTCTCATTAGATCTATACTGCCTACTAACATTATAAAGATTTTCAAAATGCTTTAACAAGAGCGTTTTTAACCTAATATTCCCATTTTTTTTTGGACACAGAATTCTTTTGCATATAAATCATATCCTAGATCCAGGTTTTCAGGCAATAGAATTTAGAGATAATAAAGTTAATTCCACATGAACAGCTACTGTTTGTCTTACTGACAGTCATAAGAAAATAATTATTTTCATTATTATTTAACTTAGATTTGCAGTAGTTTGATAAAAATTTGAGTTACCATAAAAGACAAAAACTTCAGGTCACTTGTAAAGTGCTTTATAAATATAAAGCCTGTAGTATTTGATCATTTGTGCTGGTTAGTACTTTTCAACTTGACACAAAACTAGACATATTTGGGAAGACAGACTCTCAATTGAGGAACGGCATCTTATCAGACTTGCCTGCGGGCATGTCAGGTAGGCATTTTCTTAAATAATGATTGATGTGGGAGGATGTGGACCACTGTGGGCAGTGCCACCTTGGCAGGTGGTCCTGGGCTGTATAAAAAGCTAAGCTGTGCAAGCCATATATATCATGCCGATGAGGAGCTTCCGAGCATGGTTCCTAACCTAACTTCCCTCAATGATGAACCATGATTGGCTCATGTAAACCAAATAAATCCTTTTCTCTCCAAGTCACTCTCAGTTATTGTGTTTCATAGTAATAGAAAGCAAATTAGGACAGTGAGTAGTACCAGGAGTATGGCATTGCTGTGATAGACCTAACAAGTTTTGGGAAAATTGTGATGAAAACTGGGGTCTAGGGCTAGAAAAGCCTTTAAGTGTTTACAACTTTACAGGCTGTTCTGTTAACAGCCTGGAGGAGAAGAATATCATGGGAAATGCAGACAATGGAGGCCTAGCATGTGAAGGGAAGTATGAGAGTCAAAGATTTTATCAGGGCTATTCCTATGATACTTTCCTATTAAGAATCTGTGGTTTCTGGTTGCTGAGGTTGAAGGTTTCTGGTTGCTGAGGTTGAAGAAACATCAATGATTTCTAAGAGACCACCATCACTGAAGTAAAATGTTCGCTTTGATAAGACACTCAATACTAGTTGGCAGAGTTTGAAAAATCAACTGTGATTAACAAGAGATCAGATAGGCTGAGGTGAATTTTTTGACAATTATTTCCTCTGGGTGAACATAATGACACTATGGTTCCAGCCAAGGCTGTATCTTAAGATGACAGATGAAATTGGCCATGTGAAAGTCTTTCCTATGATAACTGGTTTTTGATGGCACAAAATTTCAGACCTGAAGAGATCATGTAGACAAGCTGAGGCCTGGTACCTTGTAGTAGGGTGGGAATCCCTGGGAGGACATGAGAAGCCATCGGTGAAGATGTAGCCTCCACTGCAGTGGGAACTCAAGAATATTGGAGATGCCAATACCATGGGATAATCATTAAGGACAGCAGTATGAGTGGAGAGTAGCCAACTTAAGCCTATGACACAGTGTGTGTTTTGTAGTTGGTAGAGCTAATAAGCAGAGCTGCCCAAGTCCTTTGGTACTTAGACGACCATAAGTGAGTCCCAGACATTGGGCACTGAGCCATTTACACCACTGAATTTGGGATTTTGCTTTGATTTGGTTGTGACTGTTCAATGGTTCTTCCCTTTTGTAATAAGAAAGTATATAACTTGTTATTTTTTTAATATTTATATTACTTTAATTATGTGGGGAGTATGTGCATATGAATACAAGTACCCAAGAGATTACCCTGGAGCTGGGTTGTAAGCCACCTGATGTAGTGGTTAGGAATTGCACTCAGGAAGAGCAGTATGTGCTCTTAGCAACTGAGCCATCTCTCCGGCCCCTTGTTTTGTTTTTAGAGAAGCACACAGTTAAGAGATTTTGGATTTTTAAGAACTTGGGCTTTTAAACTGCAGGAATTTCAAAAGACTATGGAACTTTTAAAAGTTAGACTGTCTCATACTATCATGTTAATATTAACATTAACATGATACATTGGGAACAAGCAAGAAAGGAACAGTTATGACTTAATAACGACGTGTTTTTATATCATGTTGGCAATGGGTCAGTTATGCTGGTTTTCATTAATTTGTCATAAACCTAGACATATCTGAGAAGAATCTAAGTTGAGGAACTGCCTCTAGGGCATTGGCCTATAGGTGTGGTTGGGAGCATTTTCTTGATTAATGGCTGATGTGAGGGAGCCCAGACTATGGTGGATAGTACCATTGTTATAAGGCACATTTGTAAGAATACTCCCTCCAAATTGAAATGTTTGCTCTAGGAAGGAAGGGGAGGATCATGAGCCTCAGAAAGTAAACAAAAAGACACATGTCAGGGAGAATAGGAGCTTAGAATCTGATTCTTCAGGACCCCTACCCAGCAGTGAAAAAAAGGAAATAAACAATTACTGGGGGCAGAGGGGAGACTGGGGAGACTATAGCCAGCTAAACTGGCTGAAATGAAATTCAGACTGTCAAGCCAGCTGCACAGACAGAAGCTTGCAGTTTTGGGAAGTTGGCTATCCACACTGGGGTAGGCTTTCTGGTACTGCAGTTGCTTTTACATTATTCTCGCTCCTTATAAGTAGCCCTTTATCCACAGTCCTATTAGTAACCCCAATAAGAAAATGCACTGGCTCACCAAATTGGACATTGGTATAACCATTACTTTGGTCTGTCCTGGCACCTTTTCTGGGATGAATAGACATGCATTGCATGTCCCCAGGAAAAGTCTGTGAATATCAATCACCCCTGGGCAGCTAAAAAAAAAAAAAAAGCACTCTGAGCAAGCAAGTCACAGACAAGCCAGGAAGCAGCTTTCCTCTATGGTTCCTGCCCTGGCTTCCCTCTGTGACAGACTGTGATTGGGACATGCAAGCCAAATAAATCCTTTGCTCCCTAAGTTGTTTTCAGTTGTGATGTTTAACACAGCAGCAGAAAGAAAACTAGAACCATATTTAAACCAATGCTTTTGTACTGTGACTAAAAGTAGACAATTCTAAGTATAAAGAACTGATCTTAATCTTTAACTCAATTTGTAATTTCTTATATTCTTTTAAATCTGGCCCTTCCCATACATACTTTTGTGAGAGTACACATAAGCATACTGTGCTATTTTTACTTACCTAATATTTTCACAGCATAGTGAGGACTTTCTAAAACGATTCCTTCCTCTGTGTCAAATATAGGGTTATCTATTCCAGTCTTTGGAGGAATTTGAGCTAGTTTCTTAAGTCTCATGGAAGAATTTAGGTCAAGTTCTTGCTTTTTCCCTTCTTCCTCACGCCTACGTCTCATATCCTCCTGTTGCTGTCGAATACGCTCCAACTGTGCACTTCTTCGCACTGGCATCATCCTGGTGCCCAAATCGCCAGGGCAGTCAACAGCCATCTCTCGGTGCTTCTGATGTTCCTCTGGTGATGCAAGATCAAGATTTTTTATTCCGATGGCTGATTCCTCTGTTACATGCCCATTCATATACGATGTTGTCATGGTTATCTATAAAAACCTGTACCACTTTTTATATATCAATTTTTCCTATAAAGCCAATTCTCTTAATTCAGTAGTATAAAATCCATGTTACTTCAAAGAAAAAAAGATAATTTCTCATATCACATAATAATGCTATGAAAATGTATCCACGAGGGAAATCTAAGGGGAGAGATGGAGGAAAAAGTATAAGAATTACAATATAAAAACAAACTTTACATAGCCCATTTCCCATTTCTATACAATACAACAAATATAGTTTACAATGCAGATTAAGGCCATTCCCGTTACTTTACTGATAATGTTGAGGACAAAAAGTATTTTTAAAGAGTTATGTCTCAAGAATATGAAACAGTATTCAACTTAAAGAGTAAGAAAATTGATTCACTATAAAGTTTAGCAGAGTGAGAAAGTAAAAGATACTAATTTTATAGTAGCCAAAATTGGGTACAAAGAAAAATTTCAACAATCATGTTAAACATCTCAATTTTATACTTAATTAATACACATGGGGTTAGTTAACTGTATGAACACCTGATTACAATTTGGTGCATGGCACAAGTCATGTTAAAAGCTAACTTGAAATATAGAAAGTATTTTTAGGTAAAGTTCATTTTTTAGGGGGTTTTGCAATGAAGATGATGCCCCCAAAACAATAAGGTTTATCAGTGAAACTATCTAAAGACAAAACCACATATGTTAGAAAAGGGCTAGGTAAAAAATCAGTCTTTATTATAACTGGTGATATTTTTTTTAAATTTATTTATTATGTATACACTGTTCTAGAGAGCGCCAGATCTTATTAGAGATGGTTGTGAGCCACCATGTGGTTGCTGGGAATTGAACTCAGAGAAGAGCAGCCAGTGCTCTTAACCTCTGAGCCACCTCTCCAGCCCCCTAACTGGTGATATTTTATGAAGAAAATTAGATTAACTTTGTAAAAACCCATTTAGGGAAAATGGTAGTTTCTGTACCATTAAAAAAACAAAGACATATAACAAAAGGAGCACAGACAAAAAAAACTGGATGTTCATTTTGGCTCTACCATATTTCCCAGCTTGTTACAGACAGTCAGTCTCCCTCTGAATCTGAGTCATTTGGAAATTTACTCATAGAACTATTTTTAGTTTTATAAAAGATAATGTATACAAGTTACAAAATAAATATGTGTGCATTAGTATTAATTTGATTCTATCTTAAGAGTCCTCCAACATAAATTAAACTAGAAAAATATTTTATTCAATGGCATTAGCTTTTCATTAAGCAACTTAGGTATAAATACACAGGATGTTTATGTGTGCAGACCCACACATTAAATTTAATTAGCTTCTTCTGCCCAGGCTTTAAAAATATTGACAATAATGAGCTTACTACCTCCTTGAGTTGAGCATCATTTCAGTAAATATTTTTAGAGTACAATGCTGACAGAGAAATCCAGGTTTTTAGACAGTATTCCTATTGCCACTCAATCTTCTTTCAAATGTCATTACAGAGAAATGGAGAAAAGACAAACTACTTAATACAAATAAGTACCTATAGAGGATCTAGAAGAACCACTAAGATCAACAATCAGGAAAACAGATACAAATTACATGAACTACTAAGACTGCATTTTTGTAAAAATGTCAGATTATCTTCCATCCAAACTTTAAGTCTTTTTATTTATAAGCACACAGCCTATATATAAGCACCATATTTACAATTATATTGCTTTCTGTTCCATGAAAATTAGAGCTATTAAGTTTATATTAGGTGATCCTTAAGCTTTCTGTGTTAATTATAAAAAGATATAGAGAGTTTATGTAATGTTTTCATTATAAGTAAGCAGAAATTTGCATAGGAGTTACTATAGTGCTATGGTTAATTTTAATTAAAAAAAAATCTAGGCGTTTACATAATCCCAAAAATGAACTCTTAATTTTTAAATTTGTAATTATTGGATATTTAAAATTATATGCATATTCACTATACTGAATCATGAGAGAAAATAATAAATCATACATTGGATCAGACTTACATTGTCTACATGGATTTAGTCTTTATTCTCAGAAGATATCTACAACTAGTACTAAATCCACTCACCACTCTATTTTGGCTATCTCTCCTAAGTGTTCAGTTTAGCAAGAGAGAAAAAAAAATTAAATGCTTATTTTGCTCTGGTTTTCCTCATCAGATTCCAAATGTATTAGAGAACAGGTTATGCCTCATTTTTACACCTCCAGTACTTAACATGATACATGTGATGGAGGTAAGGTTCAAGAAATATCTGTTCAACTAAACTATCATTAAGTTCAAAGAGGATGCAGACATCTAAAACAGAGTAACCAGAAACAAGGAAAATACAAGGATACAGTTCTTTATGCTGCATTTTGAAATACAACTATCCATTCAGAAATAGGGTCTGTTGTAGATAAATGGAAATCACATGACCAAATGGTAGAGATAGAGGAAACCAAAACTCAATACCAAGAAACAACCACTGGTATCAATGCTGGGAAACAAAGCAGGTTATTGGGGAAATAGTTTCTTATCTAATGTTAAGCTTTAGGTAGAGAGGTGGGAAAGGCAGACTTCACATGTATGAATATGTTTGCTGCCTATCTAGAGTCTAACCCCTCCCCACTGTTCATCTTCTCTTTTCTAGCATAGAACGCCCTTTGACCAGCAGCTGGAAAGTCTCATTTTAAATGATCAACATTCCTCTGACATTTTAACAGGCTGGACTATGTTTCCATAGAAACAGCTTTGTCAGCTAATAAGGAGTCAGGCCAAAAATAGTGAAAGTAACTTACATTATGCAAACTGGAAAATCTTGTCTTCTATCCTTGTTTCTCTGGGGTTTTTTTCCCCCCCAAAAAAATTCGGGTTAGTTTTCTTATACTGCAAAACAGAAAAAAAGGAGATAATTAACTAAGTGCAAAAGTGTGCAACTAACCAAGTAGTACACAGTATTTTGTGGGGAAGTGAAAAGAAAAGGGTAATTCAGCATGATATAGCATTCTTTTTCTAGATAGTTAGGATTTGTTTTGTAAAGTTATAGTTACATACATGTATACATAAATTATATATATATGTGTGTACATATATATATACATATATATATATTGCACACCACTATCATCCCAGTCCCTAAAAGACATCAATTAAAATCAATGTTGTTATATGTTATTGTTACTAAAAATTTTAAGTGGTTCAGTCATTTTAATAATGGCAATATCAATTAGGCTGTGGTGATGCACTCCTTTAATCCCAGCACAGGCAGATTTCTGTGAGTTCAAGGCCAGCCTAGTTCAAAGGGCAAGTTCCAGGACAGCCTTGGACCTAGCCAAATTAATGAGCTCCAGTTTCAAAAAATAAGGTTGAGAGGGATTGAGGAATTTACGCATGCACATGTGTATGTGTATACCCACACAAACACACACCAAAAGAAATAAAAGCTAGTTATAAAAGCCCACATACTGTATGATTCTATTTATTGTCTAGAACTGGTAAGACAGAAAGCAAGTATTCCTTAGGACTTGCTTAGGTGGGAAGGTGGGCAAGAGAATTGTAGTTGAGGTGTGTAGGTTTCTTCAACGAATGATAGAAATGACTGGTGGTGGTGGTCATATGGTTCTGAATATACTAAATGTTAATGAACTATACATGTGAATTGGGTGAGCTGTTGGTATGTAATGACATAAAACAATAAAGTGCAATGAAATAACACCAAAAAACAATGCATATCTTGTTGTCAGCCTGACACACCTGGAAAAGGAGAACCTCAACTGAGAACTAATTCCATCTGGCTGGCCTCAAGGCTTGCTGTTGGTCACTTACTTAATTGGTAATGATGTAGGAGAGCCCAGTCATAGAGGGCAGTGGGATTGGACTTTATAGGAAAGGTAACCCTGAACAACTGAGGGAGTAAGCTAGCAAGCAGTGTTCCTACTAGGCCTTCTTTGGTTCCTGCCTCTGGCTTCTTGCTCACTGCTGGACTGTAAAATGTAAGATGAAATAAACCTGTGCTTCCTCTAAGCTGTTTTTGGTTTTTGGTCACTGTGTTTATCACAGCAACAGAAACCAAACTAAAATAATAAAATCATTAAAATTAAAAAGACTAGGGGTACCAACATTGAAGGAAGGTGAGGAGAAACTTTAACTCTTTATCTGATTTGGTATAGTTCACGGGATTTGGTCCTTCTACCATGTGAGGCCCAAGGATGGAACTCAGGTTTATAAGTACTGGCAGCAAGCACCTTTACCTGCAGAGCCCTCTCTCCAGCCATACATAAACTTCTTTTAAAATTCGTTAAACTGAACACTTAAAGTCAAATTTTAATGTAAATTTTGCGTATCTATCAATTTTAAGGGGGGGGGCACCTGATTGTATACTTAAAATGACATCTTCTAGAGCTGGGGATATAGCCCAGTCTAGAACTTTTATTTAGTATGCATGAGATCCTGTGTTCAAATGGCAGTCTACCCCTACATACATACTAAAAAATCACCCCAAAATAAAAAGGAAAAATCAACTCTATGTGTGTGTTTGTATGTGTGTGTGTGTGTGTGGGGGTATGACACAGATAGACTCACATAGCTCAGGCTGGCCCGACTTATTATGTAGCTGATAATGACCTCTCAAGTGCTGGGATTATAGGTGTGTGCAATGAATGTGCTGGACAGAAACAGTTTTTAAAAGACCACTTCAAATTCCAAAATTAAGACTATATTCACATTATATAAAGACCCTAATTATTTGCTGATGAAATTTAAAGGGTACAACTTTAAACAAAAATCAATCCACAATTCAGCTGAAGAAGAAAAAAAAGTCATTTTTGTTTGTTTGTTTGTTGTGAGACAGGGTTACATGCAGCCTAGGCTGGCCTATAATCTGACATGTGACTGAAGCACACCTGTAACTCCTCATCTTCCTGCTCCCTTGTACTGTGTGTGTGGACTACAGGCATGAATTACTATTCCTGGCTGGAAACCTAGTTCACAAATTACCAAAACAAGGAACTGTTGTTGTTTTGTAGATATATATTTATGTTATTTTAATTATGTGCATTTGTAGCTTTTTTTGGTATACACATGTGCTAGTTTCTGTGGAGACCAGAGACATCAGATCCCTGGAGCTGGAGTTACAGACAGTTGTGAACCACCTGATATGGGAAAAAGGAGTGCATGTTCTTAACCACTGGGCCACCTCTCCAACACAGGAAGCTTTTGTAAAATAATAAATTAATAAATAAATAAAGCCTTTTAACCATTTGCAGTTCACTGAACTCAATTAGCTCAATAGCATGCTATTCAATTAAAAGACCAAGTACAAAAAACCTGGCTTTACTTTTTAGTAGAACACACTAGCAAGTCTTGTAAAGTCATTTTTAAAATCTTACATAGTTTAGGTTTCAGATAAGAGTACATTTATTTGTCATCCACATAATTGCATTCCAAAAGAGTTATTGCTATTTGCACATCATTAAAGCTATTCATGTCAAAACACAATGCCTGATAAGTTTATAAGGAGTGGAAGCCAAATTCCATAAAAAAAAAAAATATTTATCTGGGCACCATGGTGCATGTCTATAACTCTAGTACTTGAAATACGACACAGGAGGATCAAGAGTTCAAAAAAGAAACAAAGCTAGGCATGGTGGCTCATGCCTGTAAACTCTGTGACTTAGGGCAAGAGGATCCCCTGAGTCAGGCCAGTCTCAGCAACAAAATCACACTCAATCTCAAAAAAATGAAAAAGTTCAAAGTAAAAAACCAATAAAGATCTCAAAGAGGACTAAGGGTAACATATATCTTAAAGCCATAAAAATCTTCAGCCTTTGAGGACAGAAAATACTAAGATTTTTGACACTCAGTTGTATATCAGTAAGATGATGTCTAATGGGAGATGTCATTCTGTAAATATGTTTCTCTTATTGGTTAATGAATAAAGTACCGTTGGCCAATAGGAAAGCAAGATAGGCGGGACTAGGAGACTAGGAGGAGAGAGGAAGTAGTAGGGAGGAGATCCAAGATGGAGGACGGAGAGAGAACACCAGCCCCTCTCTCCAGTAAGATGAGACCACGTGGAAATACTTAGATTAATAGAAATGGGTTAATATTTAAGACAGAGCTAGCCGATAAGAAACTAGTAACTGGCCAACAGAGTTATATCATATACAGAGTCTCTGTGTATTATTTGGGGCTGGTGTGGCGGAGGGACCTGACCGGCTATAGGGAAAAACCTACTCCTAACAGATGTCATCAGTTTAGAAGATCTATTTATCTTCTTCTGATATAAACTTTCAAGGATTTAGCAATTTTTACACTCCTGGACGAATTAAATATAAAACACACCTGAAGTCAAAGATGTGTTCCTTCTCTCCTCCTTGGCTTCTGGGTCAAACAACTGCCTTGACATAAAAATAACATAATACGGACCAAGTAGATAGGAAAAATACTGCTATGTTTATAATTTACAAAAATCAACCCAAAAATGGGTTAAAGACTTAAACAGTAAGACTAGAAACTCAAAGTTACTAATATTAAACACAGGATGGGAGGAACAGTGATTTCTTTTGAAGGACTCATCCAAAAGCATAGTTAACAAAAACAAATAATATCAAACTAAAAAGGTTGGTACAGCAAAGAAAACAATTGACAGTTGGCCCTTTCTGATGGAGAGACAACATCTGCATACCACACATCAAGAAAGGTGAGTTCTGAAATTGGTAAGGGGCTTAGCTAATTCTACACCAAGAAAAATGCAAGGAAAAACATAATTAAGGGGCTGGAGAGAAAGTACGATGGGTAAAGTGCTGCATATGCAAACATGAGGGACTGATTCAAACCCTCAGCACCCACATAAAGGTCAGGTACTGCTGTGCACACCTGTATTCCAGCTTGGGTAGGTGGGGTAGGGCGCAGAGACAGAGGCTCAGGGACCAGCCAGTCTATCTGGAAAGATGAGCTCCAGGTTCAGTGAGAGACCCTACTTCAAACAAAATGGGGGAGGGAGTAACAGAGGAAGACAACTCATATCAGCCCCCACACATGCAAACATGCACACGTGTCATATACACATATTTTTTACAAATAACATAAAATGAACAAATAAGATAATATAAACAAATAAGATAAAATGAACAAATAAGATAAAATGGAATGCATGTGTTATCAAAAAATCTTATGCTAAGTGACATAAGCTGTGCATAAAAGACAAACATCACATTTCTTCACCTAGATGCACAAAGATAGATGCACCTTTGCTGCACAAAGATAGACATTTAGGAAGAAGCAAAGAACAGATGACAGAGCGAGTAGAAGACAGGAGGAGGGGAATGATGGAGTCCAAGAAAAAGTCTCACACAGGAAAACAGGACAGGAATACTTGTTTTAGATACCCTAAATAGTACAGTGAATACAGTGAATAATAAAGTAGTATACATTTCAAAACTGCTAAGATAATCAATTTCAAATGTTTTCACTATAGACCCTTTAACTTTGTGATGGTGGATGATCCCAGGACCGTTCAAACAAAAGGGGGAGAGAGAAATGTTATTTGAGGAAATGTACATATTATTTAGCTTGGTCATTCTATTCTATATTCAATAATCATAATGGTTACTTTGTGTCCCAAAAGTATATGCCAACTATAAGCTATAAATTTAATAATTTAAAGCAAACAGTAGTGTTTAAAAAATTCATTCTCAGGGAACTGTGTTATCAGAGAACTGAAAGAACATATGGCAGATAAGCAGCAAATGACACAGTCCGGCTTCTTGGTGACTTAGAACGGAAACACAGAAAACAGCTACACAGTGAGGTGAGCAACAGAAGGATGCTCTGTGTGGACTTCAAAGGGGAGCCTGAGGTGCACGAGTTCAAGAGAGCTCTGGCAT